ACCTGAGAGTAAGAAGGGAATGAGCGACGGGGAGGAGGTAAGCTAGGATGGGGTATGATTTGAACTGCTTTCCTCCTGAAGCTAGGTCAAAATACAATATATTCCCGGCCTAGAAACTTTACTAAGCACAATTATGGATTTATTTCCTTATCTGCGCTCCGGCGCTCAATCACCTCAGATTTTTGTAAAGACATACATAGCGCGATGCCAGTTCAGTTCGACATCACATTTTTCAAGTAACCACTCCACTCCACATCACTCACTTCACTACACAGTACTCACTCTTCTCCATTAACCCACCCACCGAGTTACTGCCTTATGTATAAGAAGGGAATGTGAGAGGTAGGCTTTCCATATCACTGCCTTTATCGTAATCACAAAGTTTGCGGACGGACACACCGACAGACATACCGACAAACCGACACACCAAGTTTCTGCTTTATAATAAGAGAGATATCGCGAAGAGTGCCTTTTGGTTTGTCGGTTGTCTGTGTGTGTTCGACCGGAAATTCATAACTACTGTCCACGTGGACCTAGAACGTTCAAGCTTGGTAAGATCACGCTTTTCCCCGGGAGCTCGGCATTCTAATAAGTGATGTAGGATATGACGTGATCGTAGGTACTCTGTGACAGAAGCTGTTTATAACTGAGAAGATAAAGGGCCTAAAAGAGCAAGAGCCACCTACCGATCAATATCCTAACCTTTCGATATTTACGGTGTAGCTTTGACCGTTCAGTATGTTTCGCTCGATAAGACGGGATGCTAGAGTAGGGTGACAAAGAGAGGGGTGAGTACAGTGATAGGGACCCATTAGCGGCAATACATAAGCAGATGAGAATTCTGTAGATTTCTTGCTATTAGATTACGACCACTGCCCATCAAGGTTTGTGACTTAATGAAGGATCCTCTTTAATCGATATCATTCGCAACAAAACCTAACCGACCGCCAGTAATTTTGAATTCTCAACTAGTGATATCTCCGTAACGAGAAGGGTCCATTGATGACAACATTTGATAGTGGTGTTTCCATCGCTTGAAATATTTGTAGCACCGCGAAAGGCTTTGGTTGCCTAACAGTCCAATTTTTAATGAGTATTTATTCCGAGGGAGTAGAGTAGAAGAATGACACTTTTAATCAAAGGCGTAAGCATCGACTTTCACACTATTTGCACTGCCCTAATAGTCCTGTGTCAAAGTTCGTGTACAGGGAGCCATTACTTGTTTAAAAAAAGGAGTGGAGAGTGTCACTACAATGAACAATAACAATAACTGAGGTAATCGGCCGATTAGTAAAGCATAATGATCATATACTTTAACAAATGAACAAGGTAAAAGGTGCAAATTAGGTAGAAAGATTAAAAGATGAAAAAGGAACAAACAGAAGAGAGACATTGGACTGGCAGTGGAATGCGGTTCCGGCCTGGCTTTTACACTACCCAAGCTATTGATTTTTGATTCTAAAGGAACCTCGGTTGAGCTTTGCTCTTGTTTCAGCTGGATTCTCTCGCAATCTTTCGATTCGTAATTCCATACTTCGAGCTTCGTTTGGCGTCTCGCAAATTGAAGAATGGTTCGTTCGCTTACTGTAGTATCAATTTGTCCAAAATCCTGGTCAATTTTGCTTTCCTTCCCATCCGACTTCCAAACACAATAGGCATCCTTTCTAATCCTGCAGTATGAGCAGGTGTCGCCACCCATCTGGCACCATTGGAATGAATAACTGTAGTGTCTTCCGCGAAATCCGCAAAGGGTGGAGCCCATGTTTTCCACTTGTCTCGACCTAGTCCTTTTTTAAATTTTCTAGGGCGACACGGCAGCTTTGACAAGGAATCTTTGACCCTGTTTCGGTTCATTTGAATTCTTGTTTCCACGACTTCTTGGGAGAGCATTAGCGCTTATTCCTTCTATCTGGATCCTGGCTTTCGAAGCTTTATTTTTATTTTTATTCTGTCCGTACGATATTGATTGGCAGCTTTCGACGTCTTCGATGATTCGGTAGTGCTCACCGGCGATTGATTCAGAATCCTGGCTTGAAGAGCTTTGCGGAGGATATCAATTCGTCGCTTTTGTGAGTCCGTCAACTTTCGTTTGTTTCGTTCAATTCTTGATGCATTCAAAAAGACTAGCAAAATTGTTTGTTCTTTCCTTCTGTTTGTCTGAGCAATGTTGTTCACAGAGTTCTCAACATAGCGTATTGACAGGTATGAGTTGGTGAACTAGGAGATCATCTCTATTCCAATTATTATAGGCCGAGTGTTACCTTGCGCGTCTTCATAGTGGTGCCGTAATTTTAACACTGCATTTTGAGCAGCGTATGATAGTTTGCCAAGAGCGATGAGAACCTGTGTCGATTCAACATAAAAAGGCTTCCTCGCGTTCCCACACCAGCGACCATCTACTCTATTTCCTCAAACTGGGGTAATTACACACACAATGAACGGTAACATTTCCCGAGCAATAGACAGACTAATAAAATACGATAATTTTATATCACTCGCAAATATATAAACAAAGTGAAAGGTACAAATAAGGGAGAGAACAACCAGGATAAAAAAATCGGACTGGCTGTAGAATGTGGCTTCTGTATGGCTTTTATAAAGGCCCCAGCTGTTGTTTCTCGACCCCTAAGATATTCTGCACAGGCTGACTGTTTTTGTTTTGTTAGTCTGGCCCGCTTTTAATATACACTAGTTCTCAAAAGTCCGGCTAGATGCTTTTTCAGTTGTAATTTTTAGTTGTAACCCCTTTCCTACTGAATCTAATCATGCGAAATTTCAATATGTAGAACATAGATGTTTGTGAATATTAACCACCATTAAAGTGCAATCTGATCATGTTCCAGATATTCCAAAAAGGTGCTTGGAATCAGAAACAACTGGGAGTACGAACATGGCTCCCTCTGAGTTTTCTTTCCTTTTTGCCTTGTCTGGAGCGTACAAACGCCAATGCCGAACACATTGAAGGAGAAAAATGCGCATAAGGTAGGAAAAATTGCAGGCGTCGTCAAATTGCTTCCAGCAAAGTCTGCTACTGTAACAAACGCTCCGCTCTTAGTTATGTAGATATTGCTGCTTCGCAGTTAAATACTGTTGGAATATGCTTCAACACACATATTAAAATTTCGCGAGACTTACTCCACTAAGAAAAAAGTTACGAAAGAAAAAACGTTCGCCCGAAGACTTTTGAGCAATACTGTAGTTACCCTTCCCATTCCTTGCAGGGAATATTTCATTTTTGACGCATTATTGTGATTAGCTGCTGCTCATGTGGATGCGATGTTAACGGCAAAAGTGGTTCAAGTAGTTTGTCGAATTATGATCGTCGTTTTCGCTTTATTTTTCACTGTACATTCAAACACACAATTTATTTAACAATAGAACCCCACATATCCTTTTAGAGAGAATCTGCTTTCCCTAATATGCCATATGTGGCGTGGTCAGGTCGAAAGAAGAACTAGATAGTGCGTAAGGGCTCAAGGATTACATTCAGGGATGTCACACCCAGAGGTGGCCGCGTCCAGGAACCTTGAAGAAGTCTAACAGTTCACGATAGAGAACACATATTGAAAATTTAAAGAAATGGTTGTGTCCCATGGCGACAGTGGGCGCCTTCAGAGCCCAATGACGTGCACTGTTTCCATCGTCCGACCGACCGATCGATGGCGTTGCTGGTCACATGCTGTATGCTATATTATGCTGTATGCTGTATCATGCTAATTCTGTCGTCATAATTTCGTACAACCATATTGTTTGAACATTTTTTCTGAAAGTTATCGTGAACTATGCGTCACTAAATGAGTCCAAATGGCCCTGTTTATATCTAACTGTGTAAAGTCTTATTCCTAAAAAAATTGTTTTTCATTGAATTGGGTCTCTGAAGGAACTCCACCGCCGCTGTCATACCCTTCACCTGAACCAATCTGCCAGGGAAAACAATATCTCGTCCACCAGAGCGTTCCAATACTCGCTAATGAAAAGCAATGTTGTTTAATTCTTTGTGTATCAGGCTGCACTTCGTCTAAGAGCTCTGAGGACGGCCGAATGCAGAGCAATGGGATATAGCTGAGAATACTCAAGAAGCCATTGGCTGCTGCTAGTAATCAGAGCTACGACCACATTATTGCTTGCTCCATAGTCAACCCTAATGTGAAAAGTAACGATAAATTAGTCCAATGATCCTAGAAAACTTTACCGATTCGAACTTCAATGACGGCCGCTGAATCACGAAAGTGCTGTGGAGCATTCGTTGCGCTAGTGATTTTATCTTTTGCAATCTGATCACTCTGAAACACGTAGTACAAACGCTTGTTCTGGCTACAATAACAACAAGATGTGGTGCGAAAATCGTTCTTCAAGGGTATTTTAGGAATTGTGCTGCCTTGAAATGAATGGAGAATTTGCCCTATTCATTTTCACTGAGAACTGGTGTCAGTACCTATTATAATTTTGACGAATACTGCAAATCGGTCCCGACCAGACGTAGTAGACTAGTAGTAGACTCCCTTGCTGTTGCAACTATTGAAATCAGTGCACTTTTGTACTCACGAAAGGATATCCATTATGATAAAATGATTGCTTCCCTTCGAGGTTCGGAAATATCAGCGGATAGGACACAGCCTCCTCGAATTTGACATTGAAAACGTTATGCATAATGATAGTGAACAACAGCCGTGGAATTCCATAGCTTAAGGTTGGAAATCCTGGACTTCCAGCATAGGCAGCGTCAACCTGTAAAACCATCTAGTAGAGAGTTTTTGAATAATCCATTCGCACACTTCCCGTCTTTTGCATTTATCAGATCCTTTCCGGAACGGGATGCAACCTGCATTCCACTTCCATGCAGAGTCGTAGTGATCTAGACAATGATTAACGGTGGCCAGCCTATGCAGAAGCCTATATACAGTGCTTTTATCCTTTAGAATGAGTCTAGTAATAATTGTACGTTAGCGGAGGAACGGAAGTCGCGGTCGACCCGGGCGGGTATCGATCCGAGGTTTGACACCAGTGCCATGTCCGTGATAGTGTACGCCACCTGTCAAAAGAGTCATCCTCATCTACATGTACATGGATATATAGTTATAGATACAGTCATTTGAACGGATGACTCTGCTCATAAAGAAGTATGTAAAATTGGGGGTTATACGAGAACGTGACGACAAGAGCTGCATGGATGGAGCATTCGGACGAACTGTACAAATGTGCGCGCTTTTGCATACAGCGGCTGCAATAAGATGGGTCTAGGATTGTACTCTTCTACAGCTTCCACGAGGATGGCGGAACTTCTTCCCGACGTTCTACGTTCGCTCGCCGGCATACAGCAAACCCTTTTTAGTTGTCAGCCGCCTCCCGGCCAATTGATAGAACACCAAATTTCCCCTTGATTGTCTTTCTCTTTTGACTGGTTTCGATTGTTTCTTTCTGTTTCTTTTTGTTTTTACATTTATTAAACGATCATTGGGAGTTAAGAAGGTGGCCAGCAAATGTAAATAATCAGAGGGCTCCCTATCACAGAAACTGCAGCCGCCAATTTCCATCGCACTTCTTCGATACGCTTCGGGTGCGGCAAGTGCGACGCAGTGTTTTGAGAGGATGTGTCGGACCCTCTCACAACGCTTAGAAACTCGTCCACCTCGTGTGTGCGACGGCCAAGCCGGTTTTGGTACCCTTATCACGCCCTATACCGTTTTGCGAACAGACAGTGTCTCTTGGTGCTATCCTTAGGGATCATATTCGAATCCTGAGGTTAACTCTCAAAAACCATTTTTATCATGAGCCGTACCTTCTAGATGACTAACTTCTCTCAGCGTTCTCGTCATGCTAAGCAATTTTGCCAAAAGATTGATATTAAAAAATTGGAGAAGCGGATTAGCACGGTTAGAGTTCAAGGTGTGTCTGCTCTAATACTAAATTTCCATACCATTACCCACTTTTAGGGCCGAGGTGGTGCAGTGGCAAGTGGCGCACTATCTCACACGCGCGGTTAGCGGCCCAAATCTCGGATCAATATCCGCCTAAGCCAGCCATGCCTTCCATCTCTCAGGGATTGACTAATTGATACCAGACTAATCTGGGAGGATAAAAGCACTGACTTTTACATCGGCTGGCTACCGCAATTCATTGTACAGTCCATTCATAAAGTTACTACAATTCTGAGTGGAAGGCGAGTGCGGATGCGCATCCCTCAGACGGTAATGATCAACGCCAAAAACTTGGCACTTTTAACTTTATTACCCACTTTTCGATTTTTCGTCAATTGCTATGCAATATTTTACCATTCAAACATTCCTGATTCATTCCCACGGCCTCCTCATTACACAAATAAGTGAATAAATAGTCAAATAGTTAAGAAGAAGAGTCTGATAATAGTGAGTCATTACCCTGTTGTTCGAAATCATAAGAAACGGATGGAGGCTGTTCGAATAGCCTTTGCTCTTGTCAAATTTATACGCGAAATTGTGTGCTAGATTGTTCATATAAGCCTTTGATGAAAGTGATCCGAACCTGAATAGGCCGTATTTTAAGATTTTTTACTCGATAGGAAATGATCGTTGAGCGAAAGAACCTTATATTAATTTTATATATAATAGGCCATCATTCTCATTTTGACTTTCTCGTACTCCTTTCGCAAAAAATTGTTAGTAGAATTAAAACAGTTGAAGTCGCGGTGCGGTTTTCTCCGCGGGGTTAGAGGTAGCCGAGTAACCCAAACTGTGGAATCCCTGCCTGCATTAAAGGCACGGTTCACGGTAAAGATGGTTACTGAGTTCTTCCCTGAGCAATACTCAATGGCCCTCATGGGCGATAGAAGGGACCCTCTCGCTCCCAAAATCAAAATCCGGTCAGGGCATAGTGGAAGCCCTGTAGTTGACTCGAGTGGCTTTCCCGCCTCTCGATCGATGTCACGTCGGACGAGAGCCGATGCAATACTGATTGCTATTGTTCGTTCTAAAACCAACACACATCCAGCTGATCGCCGAGTGATGAGGCGATGTTTTTCTCCCATTCTTTTTTCCTCTGTTATTCTTTTTGCTGC